GGAGCCCTTCCCTTCTTGTGCCTCTTCTTTATATTTTTTAAATTCCATTTTCAGTTCATCCAGAAGTGATGCCATTGTAGAATTTTTTAAACAACCACCCAATTGTTTTTAGTCATTCAAATATAATTTCCAAAAATTCCAATGTCACCAAGCAGTCCAAATACACACAAGCTGTTTCTTTTAACACTTTCTTCTTTTTTCACTTTCTGTTCCTGGGATTACTATTTAGTTGCAAAGTTCCAGTTACATTTTAGAAGTCTTATTAAGATTTAACTTTTGATTCTTTTGAGTTCCAGGCAGACTCCTCCTTCCAAATCCTGCCCTTATTCTTTTCCTCTCCCTTCCCACTTATAACAAAAAAAAGAATTTTTTTAGTGTTCAGAAACTTTCTTGTCCCCTTGGCATTTAATTATATTTCCAGTTTAGTTACCTATTGGTGCCAAAGCGGATTTTTCCGATTTCTCATTCAGCGCTCTTTGCTGTCAACGTAAGGAAGGAGAGTGAAGAAAAAAAAACTTTCCCTTTTCACTTTCATTCGCTGCTTCCGACTCTTCTTTGGGAGCGATGTTATCTTTTATAAAATATATCCAGGATACCTTAGTTGTTGCTTTTTATCCTGGTCCGCCAAAACTTTCACTTCTTAACTTCCTCCTGCACTTTCTTTTCCAGTTGAGTGCTTCTTTGAGGCGGCCATTTCTGACCGCCGCTCTTACCGCCTTCGGGAAAGGGAATTTGGCCAGCTGAGGAGGAGAGATGCGGCTCTCCTCGACCCTGCTGGCACTCCCCCGTCTTCACCACCTCTATGAGGTGGCTTAGCCCCGAAGCCAGCTGGCTCGGGGCGCTCCAGTGGCAAGCCCAGGCAGAAACCGCGCACAATCGTGGATTCCTGCCTGCTGCTGAAGCCCTGCAAACTGGAAGTCTCTCGGGATTCCGGGATATTTTTATAAAGCTTTGCAGGAAACTATGCAACCACTGCTGTTAGAATTGTATAATGAAGCACTATTAAAAGCAAAACTACCAAAATCATGGGGAGAAACATACATATAACTGATACCGAAAGAAGGTACGGACCACTCTCTAATTCAGAACTACAGACCAATCTCATTCCTGGATGCTGACTATAAAATATTAATGACTATTATGGCAGAAAGATTGAAAATAGTTTTGAACGAAGTAATACATTCAGACCAAAATGGTTTTCTCCTAAAAAGACAAATTAGGAATAACACCAGGATGGTAATGAGTTTTTTGGAATACTATGAAGCACATCCAGAGAAACCAGTAGCACAGGTTTTTCTGGATGCGCAGAAAGCATTTGACAATTTAAATTGGGAATTTTTCTTATATCAGATGAAAGAAATGAAATTTGGACTAAACTTTGTAAAAATGATAAAGGAAATATATTCAAGTCAGAAAGCCAGCGTAAGGGTAAATGGTGACTCTACGGCAAGATTTTATATAGCTAAAGGAGTGAGACAGGGCTGTCTAATCTCACCTCTGATATTTATACTTACAATAGAGGTTTTATTAAATCAAATTAAAATAAAAAAGAAATTACAGGCATTAAGATAAAAAAGGAAGAGTGTAAAACGCAAGCATTTGCTGACAACATGGTATTTTTTGTAGAAAATCTGAACGAGGTTGGGAAAATATTGTTAAACGAAATAGATGAATGTGGTAGATTAGCAGGTCTTAAAATCAATAAAAAAATAATAAAATGTAAGTTAAAAATTTTTTAGAATATAAAAAAAGAATTAGAAAAGGAAACGGAACTCCAAATTATAAACAAAATTAAATACTTGGCTTTCTGGTTGACAGCAAAATGTTCATCTTTAAAGGAAAATAATTATGATAAATTACTTAACCAAACTAAGAAGGATTTGAAAATATGGGGGAAATTGCAACTATCCTTAGTAGGAAGGATAGCTGCAATTAAGATGAACTTGCTACCAAGATGGCTATACTTATTTCAGACTGTGCTGGTAAAGTTAAACAAAAAATTCGATGGGGTACTAAATAAGATAATAACAAAATTCATATGGCAATTTAAAAAACCTAGAATCAGATTAAAACTATTGCAGGATAATAGATACAGAGGTTTTGGACCTGATTGGGAAATATATTTTAAGGCAGCAACATTAACTTGGATTAAAGATGGGATATCTTTAAAAGGGAGAACATTAACACTAGAGGGACATGAGTTGCAAATTGGATGGCATGCCATCCTATGGGAGAGAAATAAAAAGACATATTCATATATTAGGCAACATTTAATTAGGGAGGCATTAATAGAGATTTGATGTAAAATTAAATCAACACACTATACTAAGATACCGGGCTGGCTTTCAACTATGGAAGCAACGTTCAACCCAAATACTATGGATATTTCTAAAATGATCAGGTACAATCAGCTATTAGATAATCATGGAAACCTAAAAACAAATCAAAAATTGAAGGAAGACGGAATTAAGTTAGACTGGTAGCCCTATCTGCAGGTGCAAACAAAGTATAAAAAAGATATGGAAGAATTTGGTATAGACATAAGCCCTCAACAGCTCAATAAAATCTTATTAGGACCAGAAGAAAAATGTATATCCAAAATTTATAACTACCTTCTAAAATTTGATACAGACAATGATAGCATGGATGAAAAATTTTAGATATAACATTAAATTAGAGGATTGGGAAAGACTTTGGAAGAGACATAAATTAACAATGGCAGCCTCATAGAGGGAAAACCTTTATAAAATGTACTATCATTGGCATCTAGCACCATCGAGTTTGGACAAGATATATCCAAATTTGAGTCCAATATGTTGGAAGTGTAAACAAGCAATGGGTAACTTCTTTCATATGTGGTGGTTGTGCCCCAAAGCCAAAAAATTCTGGAATAAAATAAAAATTTGGCTGCACGAAATAACAAAGGAAAAAATAGAATTCAAACCAGAAATGTTTTTATTATGGATAATTAGAGGAGAATATAAAAAAAAGAAATTAAATGTCTCATTATACATATTCTGACAGCAGCAAGAATAACCCATGCTCAAAATTGGAAAGCGGAGGGTAATCCCATGGACAATATGTTAATTAGAAAAATTATGGATTGTGCGGAAATGAATAAGCTTACTATGGAGTTGCAAGAGAAGGAAAAAAGAGAATTCTATACAGTCTGGGAGAATTTATATACTTGGATAGATAATAGGAATAATAGGCAACATATAATGTAAATATGAATAATATATATAAGTATATAGACATGAATAATGGAAGATGGAAAAAAACCAATGTAGATGTATTGCAAAAATTGTAAACATTATTTGTGGTTTTTTTTTAATTGTAAAACTTTAATAAAATCTATTTTAAATAAAACACACACACACAGACACACACACAAAAAGAGCCATGCAGCCAGGGGTGGGGTTCAAATAATTTAACAACTGTTTCTTTACCCTAATGACCAGCTGGGTAGACATGGCTGGATAGACATGTGACTGGGTGGGAGTGGCCAACTTGACGTCGCTCACGTCAAGGAGTGCTTCTCCTTCCCTGACCTCTCATGACCATGAGGATTTTACAATGGTCGTAAGTATGAAAAACAGTCATAAGTCACTTTTTTCAGTGCCATTGTAACTTTGAATGGTCACTAAATGAACTGTTGTAAGTCAAGGATTGCCTGTACAAAAATACAAAAAGCTTCTTTGCTTGCGAAAAGGTGCCCTAAATACCAATCATTAGATTAAAAATACCTGCAAACTGGAGTCACAAATCTGGCAGAGTGCCAGAGCACCTTGAGGAATTAAAATAGTTAAAATGCAATGATAACTATCAGCAGCCAACTCTTGCTCATAAAGTGAAACCCTTTAGCAGAGAGGTCATTTAAGCTCTCCAAAAAGAGCATACCAGGAGAAGCAATCCTTAGATCCATTTGCACCACTTGAAAACATCAGCTGGTCTCACTCACCTCACAAGATATCCTAAGGATGTCATCCAGGTTTAAGGAAAGGTCACATGCCCCCCAGAAAGACAGTAAAAAAATCAGTGCCAAGCTTGCATCCTGCCTCTTGGAAGTACACCCCAAAAGGACAGTGCCAGGAACCAGTAAAGCAGTGAAGGAAGACTCCCTCCCCAGATAGAAAAAATTCAAAGGCAGGAAAAAATTCAAACACAATACAAATAATTAAACTACAACAGTAGCTTGTTTAACCAATTACCAGAACAAATAGACACAGGAACTAGCCAGATTTCTCAACCCAGTTTCTTTTCAGGAACAGAGATTAACCTTTTTCCTTCCAAACAAAGCTGAATAGGGAAAATTATCCCATCAATAAACACAGGATTAAACATCACCAAGCACAGAATTAAACTTCACCAAAAACCAGTTTTAGACCAAAATTCAGAAAAGGTATGTAAACTCACATTTGAATTTCAATCTTTCTAGCTAGCCAAGAAGCCTTGCTGAATGTCACTCATCTTGGTTCTTTGTCATTAAAAGCTTCTTTCCAAGAACTCTGCTTTGTTATTCAATTATTTCTTCAAAGTGCTAATCATTGCATCTTCCCTGTTGGAAGAACTCCAACAGAGGAGTATTTCCTCCCAACAGCAGTGTAAAAACCTTAAAACAACCCCTCCTCTTTAATAAAGTCAAGCAAAGTACCAGAAAAGGAGAAAAAAAAATCTGAAAAGCTCAGGTGACAGGAAGTCTAGGCATACTGCCAAGAATGTAATAAGGGTTAACAAAGAAACAGAGAGGCAGTTTCTGTAAGCAGGGCAATAAAATTAGGCTAGAAACAACACCAGAATGTTTCCTGCCTTCCTCAGGATTAGCTCTGTAAAGTGGAAAAAAACAAAAGGAGATTTCTTCCAACAACCGGTTCTCATAACTGCTTAGAAAATTAACAGGTTCTAGCGAATAGGTGAGAACCGGTAGAATCCCACCCCTGCACCCAGCACTTATGCCTAAAACAGTGTTTAAAACAAAAAATTAGAAGAGAGAAATATACCTCTTGTTGTAGCTCTTCCCACCGAATATTGAATTTTTCAAGTTTCTCATTGATCAATTCATCCAAAACTCCACCATCTGTTAAAGTTTGTGCCAGCTCACGAATCTGATTGCGATTATCTTCTGGATGCTGTCTTAATGTTTTCAGAGACTAAAAAATATCCATAAAAGATATTACTGAGATATTTCATTTATATAAAAGAAAAACAAATATTTCATTTTTTTTAAAACAGTTTTATTAATTTTAGCAACAAACAAAAACACATAAAACATAAAAACATCATCTTTCCTTCATAAGTTTACAGACAGTGTATCGGTTGGTTTACCACTTTTTTGTGTGCATCCATTTCATAGTCTCTGTTGTAGTTATATTACATAATAACTCATATTATCAATCAACAATTATATAACCTGATATCATTATTAAACAATCATTTGACTATAATTTTATTAATTCATACTTTAACGAGATAACTATAATTTACTTAATTTATTTTATAGCAAATCATAGTCATACCAAGTCTATCTTAATAAAATTTTATAAGGATAGTATCAAAGAAAAAAAAAGAAATATGTATTCATTGTTTCCTAAAATTCTAAATATTCTATTATTATATTTTATTATCTAACCATTGATAGAAAAGGTCCCAAACTTCATAAAATTGTTTATCTTCTTGTTCTCTAATTTCAAATGTCAATCTACTCATTTCAGCACATTCCAATATTTTCTTAATAATTTCTTTCTGTGATGGTATTTTCTCACTCTTCCAATTTTTAGCAAATACAATCCTAGCCGCTGTCAATACATTTACAATCAAATATTTCAAATTTTCATTGTATGTATCAGGTAAGATTCCCAATAAAAAAATCTCTGGTTTTAAATCTATATGTTTCTTTGTCATTTTTTCCAACCATATGCGAATTTTAGTCCAATATTTTCTAGCGTCCTCACAAGTCCACCACATATGGTAATATGAGCCAGGTATCTGATGACATTTCCAGCATTTTTCAGATTTATTCTTGAACATTCTTGCTATTCTTGTCGGGGGGAAATGCCACCTGTAAAACATCTTATACAGATTTTCTTTATATGCTGTTGACATTGTCATTTTATAATTTTGAGACCACAATTTTTGCCATTTCTCTAAATCAATCCCATATCCAAAATTCTTCCCCCAAACAATCATGGTTTCTTTAACTTGTTCTTCCTCTAGTTTAATTTCCAGTAAATAACCATATAAGTTTTTAATCACTTTTTCATCAGTACCTGTCAAAATCTTATCTAAGTCAGTCAATTTATCATAGAATTCCTCTATTTTAGAATCTTTAACATACCTTGAATGTATTTGCGCATATGAAAACCAATTCATCTTTTATACCTTGTTCTTCTAGATTTTGCATCGTTTTAAGTTCACCCTTTTCATCCAATATTTCCCCATATCTAACTGTTTGTTCCTTCTTGTATGTTATAGGATAAGAAAAAGCTTCAATAGTTGATAACCAAACTGGGATTTTTAAATAACATTGTCTCTTAATTTTCTCCCAGTTTAACCATAAAGACTCCCGTATATAATGCCTTCTAAAATAGCCCTGCGATTTAGTTCCCTTATACCACAGAAAAGCATGCCAGCCCAGTAATAAATCATGTCCTTCTAGTGTCAACAATCTAGTCTTTCTTAATGTTATCCATTCTTTGGCCCACATCAAGTTTGCAGCCTGATAATACAGCTCCCAATTAGGAAGGCCAAATCCTCCTCTAGTTCTAGCATCTTGCAAAAGTTTTAATTTTATTCTCGCTTTCTTACCTTGCCATATATACTTCAACACAATTTTATTTAAATCTTCAAAATAATCTTTGCCAAGCCTAATTGGTATTGTTTGAAACAAATATAGAATTCTGGGTAAAATATTCATCTTGATTGTTGAAATTCTGCCTATTAATGACAGTTGTAGGTTTTCCCATTTCTTCAAATCAAATGCTATCTGCTGTTTGAGTTTAATATAATTGTTCTCTTTCAATGTAGTACACCTTGACATCAAATATATCCCCAAATAACCTTGTTCGTGACTTGAATTTTCAATAGGTCTGCCAGTTCTTCTCTTTGTCTTAATAACATGTTCTTTGTCAGAATCTTTGTTTTATCTTTATTTATTTTCAAACCAGCCATCTCACCGTACGTCTCTATCTTTTCCAATAGTTTTAAAGCTGTCTCTAGAGGATCTTCCAAAATGAAAACCAAATCATCCGCAAAGGCTTGTAGTTTAAATTCCTCCTTTTTGATTTTCATTCCTTTTATATTTTGGTCCTCTCTAATATTTCTATTCAACACTTCCAAAGTCAATACAAATAGCAAAGGTGATAATGGGCATCCTTGTCTTGTGCCTTTTCTTATGTTAATAGAGTCTGTAAGTTCTCCCTCTATCATTACTTTTGCCGTTTGTTTATAGTATATGGCTTCTATTGCTTGAATAAATTTTCTGGCAAAACCCATCTGTTCCAGTAGTAGTAACATAAATCTCCAGTTCACATTATCAAATGCCTTTTGGGCATCTAGAAATATCAAAGCCATTTGTTTTTCAGGATGCGCCTCATAATATTCCAAGGTGTCCAGAATTACTCTCATATTGTCTTTGATTTGTTTCTTTGGCAGAAATCCATTCTGATCAGGATGAATAAAATTATTTAAGTATTTTTTAAGCCTTTCTGCCAAGATTGAAGCAAAAATTTTATAATCTGCATTCAATAAAGAAATAGGTCTATAGTTCTTGATTTGTAATGGATCGGCCCCTTCTTTTGGAATAAGTGTAATGTAAGCTTCTGACCATGTTTTAGGTATCTTCTTATTTGACATAACTTCATTCATGACTTCTAGCAATGGAATGCTCAACGATTCTTGTAGTGTTTTATAAAATTCTGCTGGAAGCCCATCTGGACCTGGTGCTTTTCCATTATTCTGTCTGTTGAGTGCTTCGGTTAATTCCATCATTGTTATAGTACTTTCTAACATTTTTTCAGTCTCTTCAGGTATCTTAGGTAGGTTAGCATTTTGTAAATACTGTTTAATTTTTTCCTCATCAATATCTTCTTGTTTATATAGTTGTCCATAAAAGTCTCGGATAATTGCCTTTTTCTCCTTGTCACCATAGCACATTTGGCCTTGATCGTCTATTAACTGTAATATTTTCCTTGATTCTTTCTCCTTTCTCAGTTTGTATGCTAACCATCTACCTGGCCTATTTGCATCTTCAAAATAGTTCTGTTTAGCACTTCTAATTTTTTGTGCCAATTCTTCTTTCTCTATCTGACCCATTTTATGTTTAATTATGTCCATTTTAAGTTTAATATCTTTTTTCTGTGGCATTTTCTGTAATTCTTTTTCCAGGAGGAAGGCGGAGCCACGTCGCTGCGATACAGCTGCAATCTCGGGGCTCCAAGATCGCAGCTGATATCTTCACCCCTGGTCGGTCTCAACGGACCTAAACCGTAGAGACGGTGATAGTAAGGGGCGCTTTCTGTTGATCCCAGGGACATCGCAAAGTCCCTGGTTGATCCAGGAGAAGCCCTTTTACTATCGGCGGAGAGGCAGCCATTAAGCTTCTGAAGCTGGGACAGCTCCGGAAGGAAGAGATTGAAAGAGAAAGTGTATCGGTTTGGTGAGGACTTTTTTTTATTATTAATATTTGGGACTAAAGGACACCCTAAGAATGAGAAGAAATCTGTAAGATTTTCGACAAAACTGACTTAGCGGCGATTTTTAAAGAGAAATGTCAAAGTGAGGCTTGGCTTTTTACTTTTACTATGGCTTCTCTGATTATTCTGTTGTTGAAGTATTCGGTTTTGGCGATAGTTCTGGTATTTTTAAAGTCAATCTCATGTCCTGTGGCTTTGAGGTGTTGGACCAGGGAAGAGGTCGGTTCTTCTTTTTTGATTGAGTTCTTATGTTCTTCAACGCGTGCACTTATTCTACTGTTAGTTTGTCCAATGTATGTGGTGGGGCAGGCGGTGCAAGGGATTTCGTATACTCCTTGGTTTTCTAACTCGATTTTGTCTTTAGGGTTTCTTAGGATGGTGGATATTTTTCTGTTTGTGCAGAATGCTGTTTTAATGTTGTGTTTTTGGAGGATCTTGCTGATTTTGTCTGTAGTGCCTTTTATATATGGGAGGAGGGCTTTGCCGTTCTCTTGTTCTCTGTCTTGGATTTTGGTTGGGGTTTCTTTTTGGATTAGGTGGGTAATCTTCTTTCTTTGGAATCCATTGGCTGTTAGTACGTTGGTGAGAGTGTTTAGTTCGGTTTTTAGGTGTTGTTCATCAGCTAAGCATTTTGTTCTGGAGATGAGTGTCTCAGCTACGGAATTGATCTGTGCTGGGTGGTGGTGTGAGAGTGCATGTAGATAGCGGTTTGTATGTGTTTTCTTCTGGTAGATGGTGTGTCCTAGGGAGCCATTGGGTTTTTTGTATACCAAGACATCTAGGAAGGGAAGTTGATTGTTAGCTTCTGTTTCCATGGTGAATTGTATTTTGGGGTGTAGGCTGTTGAGGTGTGTGAGGAAGTTGTTCAGTTTTTCTTTCCCATGTGGCCAGATTATGAAGGTGTCATCTACGTATCTGAGCCAGAGTTTGGGTTTGTGATCATATTTTTCTAGAGCTTGTGTTTCAAAGTGTTCCATGTAGAGGTTTGCGATGACAGGTGAGAGGGGTGATCCCATGGGTGCTCCTTCTATTTGTTTGTATTTTTGTCC